CATGAGGGAGTACGTTACCCCTAAACATTGAAAATATATTAGGATATTACCACAACATTACTCTTAGGGCATCGCAAACTAATTTTTTCATGAATATGACTTAACCTGATGGAGGACGCGCTCAGTCATTCAGGCAGTCTCTCTCTCTCTCTCTGCTGTTTAGTCATGTTTTGTGCCGTTGATCGTCGTCGTCATCCTTAATAAATAAAACATGTATTCATGCTTGGGTGTCCAGTGGAGAGAAAACCCCCAACAACACTAACTGCAAACTGGCATTCAGATCTGCCTCCATTTTGTTAGCAACGCCCCAGCTTCCAACGATCCAATCAATTCCCGAAGGACGAATTCAAGTCCCGCCCTCTCATTTCAGATGCCGTTTCACTCGGATATACATCACAGTAGAGAAGAAAAGACAATCGCAACTTCCGTTTCATGCCGACTTTAACTATTTGAGAAGAAATCTTTAAATTAATGGTAGGGAGCTTGTTGTGTCACCACCTTCACTGGAACTTGCATTTCCCTATATGTTTAGTTTCTGTACGATGCTCTTTACAATAAATGATCATATATTGTTTAAATGTTTGGTAACACTTTGTTTTAATATGTGCTTATTGCACTTGTTACAAATATTTAGTATACAAGGAATTGATGTACAGAATAACATCCAGTATTTTCTCATATAGTAAATCTCTCACCTGCATGTAACGTCGTTTCGTCCTCATGACCTCCTCTTATCTTTTGACCTGGCTGTATTAAAGCAAATATTCAGTCAGTTAATCATCATACAGTGCTGCTGTCTGTTATACTGCTACTTTTCGATAACTATATTTTGTGTTACTTTCAACCATGCAAAGCGTACCTCACGGAACTTTAGACAAAGTTACAATGAAGCTTTGTTTAGAGGTATTATAACAGTTGGAGTTTGTTGTGGTCATTTGGAAATTCAGTTAATAGTTTATTAATACGGCCACCGTAATGTTAGGCTATTTGTCAAAATTTACTGGCTACTTACCTGAAGTCCTGAAACTTTGGGTTAAAAAAGTTCTCAGATCTAAAAGACCCAAAACATTACAAATTTAAATCCTTACAAACATTTTTAACAACTTTTATGCAGTTAAGATAAGTGTAGCAGAGCGAGTAGCTACAACACAGGCTTGCAGAAAAACCGCGCGCACGCTTTGCATGCTTTCGCATGTCACGTGAACACAACTTGTTTTCATTCCAAGCTTTTTAATTAATTATAATTTTAACATTAATTATTATAAATTATATACATTATATACATTATTCCTGTAATAATGATTATGTTTACAATTATATATGCGAAACAGGATTTAAGCCTGTCACAGTGTTTGAAGGAGCTGATTTGACAGTAAAATGCTGATGTGTACAAAGGACCAAACATGCAGAAATTATAAATAAATAAAGCTGCAATATAACAAAGAGTGAAACGTGTAAGGGGGTCTGAATACTTTCCGTACCCACTGTATATATATATATATATATAATATATGTGTGTGTGTGTGTGTATATGTATATGTATATATATATTATACACAAACAGAAAAAACTAACCCCATTTAAAGGGTTAGTTCACCCATAAATAAAATTATCGTTTACTCGCACTCATGTTTTTTCAAACCATAAAACATTTGTTCCTCTTCAAAACACAAAAGAAAAACATATAAAAAAATTAAACCTGAGAGATTTCTATTCTTTCTTTTGAAAATTCATGCTGCCAAAACTTTGAAGTTTCAGAAAGTTCATAAATGCATTGTAAAAGTAAACCATTGGTTTAATAAAAGTCTTCTAAAGAGACATGATCACTTTATATGATGAGTAGATTTAATTTAGCCTTTTATTCACGTATAAACATTGATCAACACTAGTGCTGTCAAACGATTAATCGCGATTAATTGCATCCGAAATAAACATTTTTGTTTACATAATATATGTATTTGAACTGTGTATATTTATTAAGTAAAAAACACACATACAGTAAATATTTACATGTGTATATATACATTAATATATTTATATTCTTATATTTTATATTATATATAAATATATTTAGCAGAAGCCTTTTTGGAGCTGGATGACAATGCAGATGGCTTGTAAGTGCCAATGATTATTTTTTTCTCTCTCTCTGATTGTGCATATAGCTAGAGAATGAATATAAACTGGCTTGTTGTCTCTGTGTCAGTGTGTCTGTTTCTGAGCTTCAGTCTCATGCTGAATTGGACCCAGATGCTGATGGCACACTTACTGAAACTGAGGTCCAGGTATTTTTGCACTTAATCATTTCTCAGTCAAAATGTGCTACCTATCTAAATGCACTGAGTGAGTGAATTGCCACTAATTTAGATGTCTGCTTTGGGATTTATTCAGGGACTGATGGGAGGAGCTGCGCAGGTGGACACGTCAACATTTGAGAGTGTTTGGACCAACATTAAAGACAAGTACCACTCAGAGGTTAGTAGAGAAGAAGCAGACATGTCATGTTGAATGACTTCTGAGAACTTTGTCATATTAATTTTCTTTAAAACAATCATGACACAAATAATCAAAGTGATAAAGATTAGATAATCTATAACAAAAATTAACATTGAAAATGAAAACATTAAGTATGACAAGTAGCCATTTAACAAAATTTTGTAATTGATATGCTTAATTCATTATAGAAAGTATACATTTTTTTTAAATAATATTAATTTTAACTAGACTAAGCATACATAATTTATACATGCATCTCTACTTTTGCATGATTTTCCCTATAATTAAAAAATTCAATAATCTCATTATGTTTCCTCATTTTATCTTTTAGATAAATTATTAAATAGCTCAACAACCTTGTCACCAATGTTAGTTATTTACGCTGCCTTTTAAAACTTTGGGATCATTACGATTTGTTTGTTTTTGTTTTCGAAAAAAAGTCTCTTATGCTCCCCAAGGCTGCATTTATTTGATCAATAATACATTAAAAAGAGTAATATTGTGGAATATTATTGCAATTAAAACTTACTGTTTTCTCTGTCAATATGTTTTCAAATTTAGTTCATACCTGTGATGGCAAAGCTGAATTTATTTATCAGCATTTATTTGAAATCGAAATCATTTGTAACAATGTAAGAGTAGTGTAGTTAGATATTTTGTACTTCTAATTGTCTTTTAATTTGATAACTTGTCTTGCATTGTTATGTGTACTTGTATTAATGCTTGACAATAATAAAAGCACCCAAATTTTGGTGTAAAAAAACAAATCTGTTTTTTTTTTTTTTATAATTCCACTGTCCTTGAACACAATAGCCCATGAGCATGTATTTTGACTGTGTTCCTCCATTCTCTCTCAGTCCCAGCCTGAGGAACCTGCCCCAGTGGAAACGCCTCCAGATG